CATATGCATTTGCCAAAGCCTTTCAAGAGAAAGGTTCAACAGCAAGTTTTGTGCTTTGGGGAGATTCTGGAAAAATGTGGTGCCTGAAAGAAAAAAAAAAAAAAAAAACCAATACTTAAAATTTCCAGACTAATTATTCTACATATTTGGGGGGCTACAACAAAGACAGGAATTTCAGGAATGTAGAGGAGCTCTTCCGAGGAGGTAGAGAACACATACTGAGGAGGATGCTACAACATCACCTCAACAATCAATTCTACCGGAGGGGGCCAGTCAAGCAAGCTTCTTCCTTCATGGACTATGATAGATATGACACTCTCTCTAACCCAGTAGCTTTCATAAACTTGTCATTTTGGCATACTACTGGATTTTCTTTCCTACATTCCCAGGAGTTGCACATTTTTATTTTATTTTATTTTATTTTTTTAAGATTTATTTATTTGGGGCACCTGGGTGGCTCAGTCGTTAAGCGTCTGCCTTCGGCTCAGGTCATGATCCCAGGGTCCTGGGATTGAGTCCCACATCAGGCTCCCTGCTCGGCGGGAAGCCTACTTCTCCCTCTCCCATTCCCCCTGCTTGTGTTCCTGCTCTCGCTGTCTCTCTCTCTGTCAAATAAATAAATAAAATCTTAAAAAAAAAAAAAAGATTTATTTATTTGGGAGAGAGAGAATGAGAGACAGAGAGCATGAGAGAAAGGAGGGTCAGAGGGAGAAGCAGACTCCTTGCTGAGCAGGGAGCCCGATGTGGGACTCGATCCCGGGACTCCAGGATCATGACCTGAGCCGAAGGCAGTCGCTTAACCAACTGAGCCACCCAGGCGCCCAGGAGTTGCACATTTATATAACTAGCCCACTATTAGTATGCCAGCCATAGCCTGTGTGATGTTTGGATTCTCATATGGCCATAGGCTTGAAAGTTCTCACTGTTTTAATTCTAACGTCGACTTCACACCATGTTGAAGAGAGCCCTTTCTCTCCTCTGCATTTCCCCAGATGTAATCTCCCTTGGTGACCACTCTCTTTGGTGTAAACTGGCTAAGCCCTCAATTTCAAAGAGGTCAGAAATAAGGCAAGAAAAGGCCAGTGATAGTGGTTGCAAGCCCTTCCACCATTCCTGGCAGAATGTTACAAGACCATCCTTATGAATTCCTAGAGGATTCCTTGATGATTGACTTTGGGGACACTTTGGCATATACACTCCCTAGCAGTTACTTGGCCGAGAGCTCCACCTCCAGGGCATGGAACATCATCTCCATACCAGTCTTATGGTTGCCATCCTCACCTTGGATAAACTGGCTGAGTTCCTCTCCTTCTTCTTGCCTCACTATTTCCATATCTCTTTCTTTCTTTTTCCCTTTTAATTATTACTATGTTCTTCTTGTTTCGGCTTTCTCTTCCCAGACACATTCTTCTTGTTATTTCTATGTCTACCTCTTTCTTGTTTTTCTCCTGGCACTCTTTCCCTCTTTCTTTCTATTTATATTTGTTCCTTCTGTCTGTCTATGCTTGGTTCATCTTTCTTTACCTATTTTTTTTTCTCTTTCTATGCTCATATAGTCTTTTCTGTTTCTCCCTTTTTCTTTCCTAACATTTTCTTCTTTCACATTTTCCTTTCAAATTTCTTTTCTTATAAATTTCTATCTCTACTTAATTATCTCAGTCTCTGTTTAATTTCTTTAATTCTCAGATGTTACTATGAATGTCACCGACTCTTACCTAAGTGTCTACAAAAAAGTATTTCTTTTTGTATTTTTTTCTCTCTATCCTCTTCACCCAGTATCATTCTGTGTCCTTTGCTTCTTCTTTTTCCTTTTCTTCTTTATTTTCTATCTTACCAAATCTTTCACTGAATCCGCTTTCATATCTTTCTCCTCTTGCTTGCTTTTCTCTTTGTTGTCCTTTTCTCTCCTGGTTTTGTTCACACACACTCACTCACTCGTACCTGTTTCTCTCCCTTTCTCCTATCTCTACTTTCCACTCATTTTTTGTGTTGTGTCTGCCCTACTATATGTGTACGTGTGAACTCACATGCACATGGGAGACATAAGGAGACAGGAGGGAGTGCATGAGGTTAGGGAAGAACCCAGAGGCTGGATCTGTGGTTTGTTACTCTGGTTATCCATGGGAATCTTCTGATTCAGTTGTCTGCAATGGGGTCAATGAATCTAAGAAGGCTCTCAGGTTGAGATTTACTGGTTTAATGAGGAAAGCCCTTGAAAGCTAGGATTAATTATCTGTACTTCATGCAATAAGGGAGGTTTTAAGAATTATTGTGAAATACGATCTCTGTGTGAGAGATTATCTGAAAACATTGTGGGAAAGAGGACTTGGAAGCAGAGAAATGGAACTTCATATATATTTTATTGGGCCTAATTCAAATAGCACTTCTCTAAGCTTCCATTTGTAACCCATTTCTTCCTCCCCATAGCCCCCTGCATACGGTTTATTTCTTTGTTGCAGCTCTTACCAAACTCAGGCTCATATTTGAATTACTTGTCCCATTTCTCTGCTATCTCCTAGACTGAATTTTTTGATGGCAGGACTAGAACATTTTCTCCATTGTTTTCCTAGGACAATATGTAGCCCAGAGTTCTAATTATAAAAGTTTTCAGAGTCATTGTCAGCATTTCCTTAATTTAATTAAATAATATCACATTTGTCTTCAAAACCATTAAATCGATGATATTATCACCTGAGAATCAAAGACACAGCAAGTTATATATAGAGCTGAGGACAGAATTTGTTCACTCCAACAATTAGCATTTACTGAGTGATGGGATGACCAGTAAGAATAGAGGAGCAGTATAGAGTTTCGAATTTGGGCATGGACTCTTGATCCAGACCTCCCTGCCTGGTAACCTGCTAGGTAAGTGTACAAAGAAGGCTACAGCTGTATCTGTCTTCTAGAATAGCCAGCTGTTAGTCCTGTGTGGCTGCCTTGTACATGCTGAGTTGGCTCAGTAAGACACTCATCCCTGAAGGCTCCAGCTTCAACCCCAGTGTTCAATATGACTCTGTTTAATTAAATTTTTTATATTTATTATACTTATTTATATTTATATAAAATAACTTATTATATTTATTTATTATTTGGGAACTCCAGATAATAACATTAGATTCTTCCTATGTCATTTAAATATTGGCCCACTCCACTCTTCTCTTAAGATCTACTTGAAGAGATCAGATGTATCAAATGGTTTTTCCATCTGGAGATTAGTTACAGAATGAGATTTTAGACTCCACCATTTAAACCTTTAGCAGGAAAGAGGATTTCTCTTGTTCCACAGCAGAAGATCAGATTTTGAAATATAAATTTTCTGGGAAAGCCTGAAGCCAGATATAGCAAGTAGCCCACGTGTAAGATCATTGTCAGATTCTCATTTGTAAGAAACACCTCCTCACCCAGCTCTCTAAGCCATACCTACATGCGTCTCAGAGAGAGATGAAATTTATAAATGGGTCTCTGGAGCCTCTTTGAAGATCACTGCATGTTGGAAGTTTTCTGTTTCTGATGGGAAGTGTGGAATTGATCCCTGTAGTTGTCTTTGTATCTGGGCATAATTAAACAAGAATCACAAAACTCCTCCCCAAAGAAAATTCATTTTTCCTTCCCTTCCTTTCTTTTCTTCCTTTTTCATAGGCTTTCAGTTTTTCTACTTCTTTGCTTTTTTACACCAACATAATTGTCAATAGTTGCTTGCTGAAATTCATCACCCACAGTACATGGTGGTAAATTGGGAGAAAGATTACATCGAGGAAGATGAGCTAGCACAATTTCTGGCAGGTATCAAACACTCAATATATGTCACCTTTGCTTTTCTTCCATTTCTGAGCTCCAGTCTATAACTCAACCATAGCTACTGATCAAATATTTGAGCTCTATATCTTTCAACAAAAGAACCATTGTGCTGCAGGAAGACTTACATGTATGTTAGATGATTTTATGTTCTGTTCAAAAAGTTGACAGAATATAGATATTATTCACATAAATGTTTGCAATATACTCTAATGTATTATGTTTCATGTGATATAAAATATCTATAGTAGAAAAAAAGTTTATTTTCTAAAACCATCAATTGAGACATCTGATCCATACCTAATGTGACTGGTAGGTTTGGGAGTGATAAAACTACCACTTGGAATGCATTACCAACAAGTACGTGGCACTCTAACCCCCTTACTCCAAAGATACAATATTAACTATGTCCTTCTGTGGTTATCTTCTCATTATACCTTTTCTAGCTTTCAGAGTTCTTTTTGTCCTTCAACAATCACATCAGGAAACTTACTCTAGTAATTAAAGTTGGATTCAAGGAAAACTATGCACTTCCACATTATTCATTCTCTCATTCGTTCTTTCCATCTTAGGTTCTGCCTTTTCTAATCTCAAGCTTGCGTGACCCACAGCCAAATTTAAGGACTGTACCCATCCTGGGTTTTGACACCCATTCCAGCACAATCTAGTATGTCTTCCTCATAAAATCCAATTACTAACCAGCAAGATTCATGTGTTCTTATGAAAATTTGTCCCACTTGTTTTTAATTCAGGAAAGCTACTGGTTCAAATGTGAAGCTAAGTGAAAGTCCCTCTGAGGAACTATTTTTGGAGTAAAGCTTTAAAGCCTTCCACTCAATTAATTCTTGATAGGCCGCTGTCTCTCCTTCTGCCCTCATTAGGGAAAAACAAAAATAAAGAGTATCTGCTATGATCAATAGTATTTAGTCACATGCACTCTTGTTTGAGTTTACTTCCTTGCCTTCCAAAAAACACAGATATTTCAGCACTAGGTCATGGTGATAAAATTAAATTTTACTTTGGGCACTTGGGTGGCTCAGTCGGTTAAGCATCTGCCTTCGGCTCAGGTCATGATCCCAGGGTACTGGGATCGAGTCCCGTGTCAGGCTCCCTGCTCAGAGGGGAGCCTGCTTCTCCCTCTGCCCCTCCCCCCACTTGTTCTCTCTCTCTTTCTCAAAAATAAATAAATAAAATATTTTAAAAAATTAAATTTTACTTTTAATGAAGTAATGTCATTTGTAGCAAAAAATTCAAATTAGAAATGTTTATATATTTCATTATTTAATTTCTAGGCAGCATTAGAGGTAAGAATTTTTAAATGTGATTTGTACCACAAGAGGATCTTGTTCTTCTTGAAAAAGGACCTTTTTTAAAATTCCAGGAAAGCCAAAGTACCATAAAAAATCAAGGTCTGTACATTGCAGGGAAAAACCCTTCAGCTATTATTGAAACATAATTACATACAGGAAAAATGTATTATCAGTACAGGAAAGAAGCCTTAAGAATTCTCTGTGCTTTTTGAAACTGATGGACATGAGTGAGCTCTGATATCGTTATGCTTAGAAACGGCTTCATCCAGATCCAACTGAACACCATTAATGTTCACTTCCATACAGCCATTATAAAAGGCATTCACTGGTGTGGCACTGAATGGAATATCTGTAAAAACAGAATATTAAAATATTAACCCAAGACTTCTGGCATCTTATTTGCTTACAATTAGAGGAACTGTTCAAACTTCCCATTTCCAACCAAATTCTAATCATAAAGGAAAAATTAATAATGTAATTATTCAATAAATTTATATTAAGTGACTTCTATGTATATAAGGTATTGTGCTTGACACTGGATTCAGCATATCATCAGTTCCTCTGATTTCATAAACACAATCAGTCTCATTAAAACCTAAGATAGATAAACACTTTAAAAAGAATAAAAAAGAGCATATTCTTACCTGTGATGTTCTATTTTATTATTTTCTTCTTAAATCTGAGCAACAGTTTAAGCACTGTTAAATCATTTTTTCAACTCCAAACTATAGCTACATGGAAATCTTTTTAAAATGCTGTGATAAATGTATCTCTTTTATTACTGCTGGAATAAAAGCAGATTTCTATATTTTCCTAAAAATAGCTTCTTGCTGAGCATACAATGTCAGGTCATGATAGGAAATTCACTTTATGTACTGTTTAGTGTTCAAAAAATAATTTTAATAATGCTTCAGTGAATAGGGCCTTTGGGCCTTTCGACACTTTCACTCTCCTCATCAGACTTAATACTTTAGTAACACCCTTGAATTCCTAAGAACAATGGTTCATTTTAATAACATCCATCTCTCTACTTGCTTCTTTTTTTGGCATCTCCTCCCCATGAATTTCGTTCCCAATGGACATTTTTCAGCCTTTATTCTTTTTCTTAGTACCTTATGCAAAAAACATACAGGTCAAATTTTCCACCTTTAATTTGCCAACGCAGTGAATAAAGTCCATACTTTTCTAGGGGCTCACAGCATTCTTTATGAAACCCTTTCAAGTCTGGCTGAGCATCAAGATTATGCCACTATTATAAAAATCCTCAGAAATATCAATTTCCCCTGATTTCTAATTCATAGCATGCAATTTAATATGCCTATTTTGCATATCAACTGGTAATTTACCTATCCCACTGTTTACACACCTAATATCTCAATTGCCAGTTCTCCTCAATTTTCCTCACTCTCTAAACACATCTTGCCTGAAGTCAATCTTCAGTGCTGATGCCAAAGTCCTGGAACCATTAAAATTTAATAGCTTTACTTCTTTTCAACTCTTTCATTGTTTGTCTGATTTACTAAAATGGCATTCAACTAATTTGCAATAAGGTAGTAAGTGGATTTCAATATAGAATTCATTCATTTGAACTAAAATTATACTTCCTAATAATTAACCACAGTAACTTAACTTTCTATTAACCATGCTAACTTATCTATTTATCTATCTATCCATAACTTTTAGAGCATCCTTACTTCTATCCCACAAAAACCCACATAAAATTTCCATATATGAAAAATGAAGGCCCTGAGCAGTTAAAAGTAAGAAAATGAAGGTTACTAGAAGTCCAGACATCAAACTCAGAATTTTCCCTGAGAATAACCTGCAAATGGTATTTGAAAATATTTCTCAAAAACTTTCTGCCTCAATTATTTTTTGCCATTTAAAGTAAAATGTTGACGCCAATTTCATATTTTCCAATATTAAGTCAGAGATGAATGTGCTTTGCCTCCAGTTTTCTCCATCTTATGGTAAACAGACTCTCCACCCACACAACTCCTCATGGTGGATACCTAAGAAAGAGATCCTTATACCTGCCTTTCAATCATTAAATCCTACTAATGTTGCTTTTCACATGCATCTCCCATCTAATCACTGTGCCCCATCTTCACTGCCATCATCCTAGTCCAGCAGCTTCTTCATCTGTAACATAGGGATAATAATAGCACCTGACTCACAGGTCTATTTTGAAAGTTAAATAAGTTGATCCCTCCTAAGCACTTTCAACGATGCCAGACTATTTATTATGCACTGATTGATGGCAGTATAGTTCTTGCTTCTGTTACTGTTACTGCTCCTCCATCTGGACCACTTCAGCAGTCCCCGGCTCCTCTCATCCCACTTTTGCCTCCCACCTGTCCATCTCCATCCATCACGTGGGGTGGGTTTTTAAAATGATAATATTGATATACAATTTCCCTGTCTAAATTTTTTTAAAGACTCCCATGGCTCTTGTAATAAGACTCAGGACCCCGAACCAGGTCTACAAACCACCCCCCGACACACACCCAGTTCTCAGGCTCCTCATCCTGTATCTCCCTTGCTCAATGTGTTTTCACCACACTCATCGTCTATATATTCCTCAAGTGTATCCACCCCCCGTTTTGCCCACACATAGACCATTTTTACTTGCATATTAATTCCAATTCCCGCCCTATCACTTGGTTAAATTTAACACTTCCATTTATCATATTTATATCTTAGCCTTTTCTTCAGAGAGCTCATTCTTGGCTGGCACAACCAGGCCAAGTCCCCATTTTTAGGCTCTGAAAGCAATTCATACTTTTCCTTCATAGAAGTTATCACAATTTAATTATTCTGATATTTTCTTAATTGGTTATTTGATGTCTGCCTCTGTACTAGATTGTAAAAGGCTTAGCAGCAGGAATCATATCTGTTTATTACTATAGCCTTACCACCTGGGGTGTAGGTTCTTAATAAATAAAAGGTAAATGATGGATGAATTAAAGAATAAAGATTGAACTCATAAGACTACTGTGAGAATGAACTGAAATAATAAATACTTTCTAATTAGGATAGTCAAATGCAACAAAACTCGCCCAACCCCTAGGCCACCATTAAAAAACAAACAAACAAAATATACCCAAAAAAAATAAAAATAAATCAAAAAAAAAAAAAAAATAAATAAAAGAAAATAAAAAGAAATAATAAAATCATGACCCCAAAAGTACACACAAAAAAGACCACCAAGCAGATCAAAAAGACAAAGAAAGAAAACCTTTTAAATACAACACTCAAAACAAAAAAACAAAAAAAAATAAGAAGATACCGAAAAGACCAACCACGCAAGTGCAGAAAAGAACTCTCAACACTATAGACAAAAAGGAAAACCGTCATGAAAGATTCCAAGAGAAGATCACGTCTAGGGAAAATGGAAAAAACAGCTCCACATTGCTTCTGTTGACTCTTAATTCCAGAAGAAAAAAAGGAATGGAAAACAAACGTATAGCCACTATCCGAAACATTAGCACACATCCAACAGATAAAAGGAGACCAAAAAAAAAACAGCAAAGATGCAATATAAGCAACCATTCATCGTAAACAAACGCAACAATGCCGTCAGAGACACACAACAACCTTCAAAAATAAAGGAGAATTACAAATGTCAGGCCCAACTAACAAAAAAAAACACAGTCGCTGAAGAAAAAACAAAAAACCAAGCAGGGGTACCAAAGATAGGAACAGAAAGGAGTGTATCAACCAAGAATTTACCAAACGACAGAAAGACAAACAGCAAAACGTACATCTGAAAAAAGAAAGACTCCAAGCACCATAGGCTCAAGAAAAGGCTAGGAAAATTACAAAAAATTCAGAAAAGACATCACAGCAAGACTAAAAGAACCAAAACAGCCACATAAAAAAAACTATTAAGACACAGAGAAAAAAAACTCAAAAAGTCACAAGAGGGGAAAAAAAGGGACCACCAGCAATAAGTCAAAGAAAAATAGCAAGAAGACAATCAAAAAACAAAAGGTAGGAAGGAAAAAGAACAAACCAAACCCCACAAAAAAACAAAGACGTAACCTCCTGACAGACAGCGATCCAAAAAAATAATACATGTAAACAAGAAATGCAAAAAGAAAAAAAAAACAAGGGACGCCTGGGCAGCTCAGTAGCTTAAGCGTCTGCCCTCAGCTCAGGTCATGATCCCAGGGACCTGGGATCGAGCCCCATGTCAGGCTCCCTGGTCCAACCGCCCCCCTGCTTATTCTTGCTCTCTCTCTCAAATAAATAAATAAAATCTTAAGAAGAAAAAGAAAAGAACATCAAAACTAGGAACATGGCTGTTATGAGATGGTAGAAAGATAGTCTGAAGTACCTACTTAGGAATCCAAGTCTATACTTCGCAAATACGGGTTATTTGAGGAAATCTGTTACTATTACATATCCATATCCTTGAACTCACTAATAATCTTAAAATGGTCAGCAGACAAACTGTTCCAGAATGATCAATAGGATGTGGAATTATGTTATGAAATACTGTACACAGATATTGAGAAGGCAATCTGACATGGAGGAAAAAAAAAAGGAGCCATGGAGTCAAACACAAAAGATAAAATAAATATCAAAGACGTGGCATGCATTAATCTCCTCTACTGCAGGGATATAGTGCTGAAGATAGGATTTCCATTTTGTTTAAAAAAAAAAAGTAAACAAAAAGCTGGAATCTAAATGTAGCAAGCTCCTGTGGTAGACTAGAGATAAAAACTCAGCAGGATCTCCTTAGGTGGCTTATGCTTAACCACTAGAAACTCCCTGCAATCATCGTTGAGCTGAAAACAACATACCTTTTTATTGCTACAGACATTATTCAATTACATGCTTCTTTCTAAAAGCTACAGAGAACATCCAAGCCAACCTTGGCTCAGACACAAGCTTCTTGCTCTAACTTGTTGGAATCCACTGTGGATAACACATGGTCAGAACTATTAGCCTCTGGTGGAAGGCTGAATAATACAGATCTTCTGATAACGCTCATGTTTCCTTTTATCCAAGAGTTTTTTCCTGTTCGTCCTCCTAATTTCAAATGAGAGTTGCCAGCAAGAAGCCAGGTGGACTGGTTTTAGTTTTCTCCAGTCCTTCCTAATTTACTCGTGGGAGAAAAGATTAAGAGTGCCAGAGAGCACAAAACATTATAATTAGGCACAGAATATCTAAGACTGAATTTTAATCAGACTCACTTTTATTTTGTTAGTACAGACTATGACTCCCATAATATTTCGAGGATTTAAATAAAGGTGGATCTCTATGTACTCTGGGAAGGGTCCAGGCAGCCTGTGTGTGAGTCTGCCTGATCTTGGCTGTGGATGCACAGTAACAGGCTTTTCTCCTCTCTACTTCCTGGATCAGACCTTAGAAATAAGCCAGCAAAAAAGTAATAATAATGGACATTTTTTGAGTCCTTATTGATGTGCTGGAGACTGTGCTAAATACATGTTATCTCATTTAATCACCAAAATAACACTTTGAGGTAAATACTGCTAATATATCCATTTTACAGATAAAAAACAAAACAAAACAAGAATCACAAAAGTTTAGTGAAGTTACCTGAAGCTTTTCAGAGGCAGAGTCTACCAAGGACAAGGCAAAGGGCACAGTATTACCAGAAACCAAGGCGAACATAACGCCAGTGCCCGTGGATGGGCGAATGTTCAAGGACACATTTACTTGCCAGTCCTCAGCATTGGATATATTACCTATTTAAACAATAAAACAGAAGCAGGATCAGTGTACTCCTAAAGTATGCCACAAGGAATTATTACAATCTTACTAATACTCAGAGCCATTTTTGTGGAATACTAAAGGTTTTCATTCTCCTTCCTCAGTGACCTATAAAACCAAGGCAAAAAAACAAAAAACAAGAACCATTTTTTTAAGTGCAGGCAAGACACACAAAAATGGAGCCCCAGCCGTCTCGTCTTCCTAGAATAAAATTCGAGATGTGGTGCTTCAGAAGATTATGAATCTCTCCTGTTTGCTCTTTTACAGGTATTCTTTCTGCCTCCATATTCACCATTGGTCCAATCTCAGAGTGGTCATATTTTAAAGTACACATTTAGAAGGAAATTCAACAAATTTATTGTAATGTTTCTGAGGGAATATTTGGATATGGCTGCATCACCACCCTACAATTCCTCATCCATAAAGGGCTCAGTTCAAAGCAGTGGGAAAGAAAAATATGATTTATACAAATAGGGGAGTTTGGGGAGTTTGATAGTAGAGAAATATTCTGAAATCAACAGTTAACCCTAAAATTCTAACAGGAACTCTTCTTCTGCGGTTCTCTTGTCATAATAGTTAACACTCATTTTCTTCATTACTAGGCTAATTGTCTATTCCACTAGAGTGCAAGCCCTACATGTCTCTATGACCACTTTGTTTTCCACAGTAGTCACTCAACAAATAGTTGAATTGATATGTTCCAAAATAGTTTAATTCCTAAAAGTACTGGGGCATCTGGGTGGCTCAGTCGATTAAGCATCCGACTTCGGCTCAGGTCATGGTCTTAGGGTCCTGGAATCGAGCCCTGCATCAGGCTCCCCACTCAGCAGGGAGTCTGCTTGTCACTCTCCCTCTTTCCCTGCCCCTCCCCCGTTCATGCTCTCTCTCTGTCTCTCTCAAATAAATAAATAAAATCTTTAAAAAAATATTAATTCACATTTTGAGTGAAGTTTTCCTTATTTAATATGAAGTAATATAAAATAATACCTCAAATACCACTTATAGGTTTTGAAAAGGTGAATGTGAGTGGAGAAAATATTTTCCCCTTGACAAGATGGTCTTCAATTTAGCCACATCAAATGCTATTGCATTGTTCATTTATCATCTTTTTTTTAAGATTTTATTTATTTATTTGTCAGAGAGAGTGTGTGCATAAGCAGGGGGAACGGCAGGTAGAGGGAGAAGCAGGCTCCCTGCTAAGCAAGTAGCCTGATGAGGGACTCGATCCCAGGACTCTGGGATCATGACGTGAGCCAAAGGCAGACGCTTAACCAACTGAGCCACCCAAACGTCCCTATTTACAATACACTCATTTATATACATGTGTATTTATATACAATATAATCATTTTGAAATAAGTAAATTTACTATAAGGTATTAATGAACTCAAACTAAAACATGCAAGCATACAGAAATTATAATGTAACATTAAATATTAATTTAAAAATAGGTCACTTTCAAGTTATCCATGAAGTAACTAATTGCTTATGAAAGTAATTTTTTTTCAGATACAATAGAACTCTTACTTTCATTTTCTTTTCAGAGACTTTTTCCTTTGAGCAAATTATTGTGGGCCTAGTTTTTTCTTATATTCAGTCATCAGCCCCAATTAAAAAATTTTTTAAAATCCTTCATATACAGAACAGAACTAAAGTTAAAGACATTGCATTACTTTATGTTAAGAACACAAAAAGTACTAGTGTAAGATTCTTCCTTAAAACTGTAGTAATACTTTTTTAGACTGCAAATAAACACATTTAAAATACAATTTTTCATTAAAGCAGAGATATCAGATTAACACTAAATTTATAATACAAAGTATTAGTAGCTCAAATAATGAATTCCTAAACAGAAAAAGACAAAGAACCTAATAAGATAATTAAGATATAAAAATAGCTAATAAACACATGGAGAGATATTTAACAGTAGAAATTGGGATAATAATATTTAAAACTACAAGATTTAATTTTTCAACTCTCAGATTGGAAACAAATCTCAAGCATACACTTTCTTATTCTGTTGGTAGAAGTATAAATTGAGGAGCACCTAGGTGGCTCAGTCGGTTAAGCGGCTGCCTTCGGCTCAGGTCATGATCCCAGAGTCCTGGGATCAAGCCCTGCATCAGGATCTCTGCTCATCCGGGAGCCTGCTTCTCCCTCTTCCTCTGCCCCCTCACCCCCCCCACCCCGCTTGTGATCTCTTTCCCTCTGTGTGTGTCAAATAAATAAATTAAATCTTAAAAAAAAATAAGTATAAATTGATAAAACATCTTTGGAAGAGAATCTAACTGAGCAGTAGGAATTATACATCTGCATAAACTTTGGTGGACATAATCTAAGATTCTCTCCTACAGAATTAATCATATAAAGGTATAAAGATGTGTGTCCAAGGGTATTATGGAAATACTATTTGTAAAGGCAAAAACCTGGGTCAGTCTGGCAGGAGTTCCTGTTCTGCTTAGACTATAGGAAACTGGAAAGAGCACTGCTCCTACCCTTACAACAACAACAACCAAAGACCAATTATTTAGCTTCCCTCCTCCTGCAAGCCTGGAGAAGAGGAGCAGCAACCTGCAGGAAAAGCACAAAGTCCATTCCTTCTCTGTCTTCTCTATGCAACAAAAGCCTTACAGCACTGGGGAAAAGGTAACAAACATTGTGGCCATTAGAACACATGCAAAGACCCATTGCATCTACAGGTTAGGGAAAGGAAACTGGAAAAAACAAAACAACCAACCAAAAACCATTTACCGTGGAAAAGGAGCAGAAAAAATCTGGAGTCCTGACCATTAGATATCTCCCTCACAGGTGGTTGGGAGGGGGACAATGAAAAGTTCACACCCCTGAGACCCAGGGATACAATACTTGCCCAAAATTGAATCTGTATCAGAACATTAGAGAATGTTCCCCACACCTTGCCACCATGCTAGCAAATGTCAAGTAACAAGAGCATTCTTTTGGGGTGAAGCAAGACCATGGAGAAACACTTTCTTGAGGCATATCATAAACAGAATACCTAAAGCTAAGGATAGATCAGCTATTAAGAAAAATCCTCTGGCAAACCAATCACTACCATAAGCACAAGGTAACAATAAAGGAATTTGAAGAGTATTCAATGGAAACAAGAAAGCTTAAGCAGTTCAACTCTTGACTAGACTGATTCAACCCCTTTACAAAAGGCCTAGCAAAAGCAGAAATAGGCTCATCTCCAGACATATATATTATTTACCTGCCTCTACTGTTCTACATAAGATGCTTACTTTTTAAACCAAAAATCATGCAATACCGAAGGCAACAAGGAAAAATAACACATGGTCAAGAGACAAAGCAATCAGCATGACATTGGACCTGTCAGACAGGGAATTTAAAATAATTATGATTAATAAGTTGAAGGCTCAGGTAGAAATGTAGACAACATATATGAACAGATGGGAAATTTCAACAAAGGGTTAGACATTTTAAGAAACAATCAATTGAAATTTTAGAAATGAAGGTGAATCCTTTTGAAGCATTTATTCAGTAGACTCAACACAACTGAGAAATTGGTGAACCTTAAAATAGGTTAATTGAATTCACTTGCAATTAATCAAGTTATGTGCCAATAATCTTTTTTTAAGTAATCTTTAAATAGTAACATAAGCATATTCTACTACCTTTCCCCCAATATACTGCAAAAATTTAATAAAAAATATATAGCTATATGAATAAACCTAACACAATGCCTGGCACATAGTTAAGTATTCAATAATGTTTACTGAAGGCATTTTTGCTGTTTGTCAATGAATAAATATAGTCATTAATGAGAAAAGAGAAGTAAAATGAGAAATCACTTACCATAATCTATGCTAAATTGAGCAACACCAGAACCAGGATAGTAGGAACCCTTCTCCACAGTGACAAAACAATGCTTACTTTGTTTTTCTTGAATAATTTCATTTATTCCTGAAGCTCCTTGATCCATCAAATTCCAGCCTCGTATACATCCATCTAGACGAGGGGTTATCTAACAAATTAAAATATAGGTCAAGGAGTACATCTTAAAAGAGTCAGACTCATACATGGCTTATTTGATTACAGATGCAGTTTTCATTTAGAGGGAAAATCCTCTCTTTGTTGATATGTTAAAATTCTTTAAATATTTTGAATATTATCTAATTTTTTAAGGTGTCCTTCAGATGGGCAGTCTTTTTCAGTTACAGTGAGTTTATGCCATCACAGACCTCCACTGGGATCCTAATGATTTTTAGCCCCTCAAGCCCTACCTGCCTCTCCTCTATCCTCCAGAAATAACTTTTCTGCTCTCAACTTCCATATATGCTTCTAGCCGTGGCCCTGGGCTGTAAGATGCTTTCTTTAACTGCATTTATATATAGGTTTGTTTTGCCATCAGACACTGAACCTCTTCAGGAACAAAAGTGTTTGCACTCTTTAGTCTCCATCAAAGCATCCAGCCAGACTCAAGACCCATAGTAGCCATTTCATAAATAGTTTTTGAAAAATTTATTTTACTTTTAAAATGTCTTGATTTATCAATTTCAAAGGAACAGATGCATTCACTCTGACATGGGTTAACTAATTCAGGTTTTATATCATACTGCAGAAATCTTTCAAAAGTTAAGGTAACTGTGAATTGCCATGAGTAAAAGATGGATATAAAATAGTAAATATTTAAGTTAAATCAGCGAGTATAATTGACAGGCCCATGACTTCAAATGAAATTTTTAAAACTCTTCAAGGACAGTGATTAGTCTCCTTCATGAGACCTATTCTACAGTTATTAGACAAACATCATATTCAGAAAATCATCTATTATATGTAACTTCAATTTTTGATAGGCTGAAGTTATACTCCCAGCAAAGATTTTTTAAAAAAGTTCCACCTTTATATGCTATTTTATCTCCCAAATTTAAGTCCTAAAATAGACCTAAGAAAATTCTTTGACTGGCTTCTACAAAATGTTGTATTTTTGGACTCCAATACATGTATTTATATTTGTAATTGCTGAATATGGACAGTTATCATGTTAACACTGAATTGATGCTTGAGAATTGAAAAAAAATCTACTTCCCCATGAGTAACGCTGGGGATTTAAATGGGCTCAAAAACACTACATTTATTTTCTTATTTCCTTAATATAATTTCAAGGATCGCTGTGTTATTTTTCCTTGTTCATTTCAAGTTGTCACGGTATGTTCAACAAAATAACTTCTTTGACTCTCAGAAAAACACATCTTCAAATCTATTACGGACAAGAGGAATTCATCCATGATGAATGATAGAAACTTGTATCATTACCGGTCTAATGAGGGCATTCTCCATTTTCCGAGGTAATCCTGCAAAATATACTTTCGTTTCTAGAAATCCATTTGTAGGCTTAAAAAGGCTTTCGGGTTTATTTATATTCATTACAGCTTCTTTAGCTATTTTTACACTAATACTGTGTTCTAGTTCTTCCACAGAGACCTATAATTAAAAAGACAAAAGTTATCAAACAACCAAACATCACTGCATGTCATTTGAAACGCTAAGATTGAAAAATCCTGTTATTATTCCAGTAAATAATTTTTCAAAGTAATCATTTTAATGTAATTATTAATTTGTTGTAATCCATTTGAAATGTCTAATTACTATAAAGGTGGTAAAAATGTGTTTTAAAGTGATAATTCTTGATTGAAAATTAAATGAACACCATATTTTAAAGTAAAAAAACACACAGTATTGTTCTTTTAAATTTAAACAACCAATTATAATATACATATTTCAAATCCAGCATCATAAAATTAAGTGAGTCACTCTACAAAATCTTAGAAAACATTTTTTTTAAAGATTTTTCATTTATTTATTTGAGAGAGAGAATGAGATAGAGAGAGCATGGGGGGGGAGGGTCAGAGGGAGAAGCAGACTCCCCGCTGAGCAGGGAGCCCGACGAGGGACTCGATCCCGGGACTCCAGGATCATGACCTGAGCCGAAGGCAGTCACCTAACCAACTGAGCCACCCAGGCGCCCATCTTAGAAAACTTTTAAGTGTTCTTATTTTGCAATTGTCTGAAAGTATACATATGGAATCAATAATGGAAATAAATTCTTAATATAAAGTGTGAGAAATCAGTACCTCCAGTATTCTGTTCATGACACACAAATTATACTTTATTTCAAAATTCAAAAAGTAATTAAGGTCATAAGGAAGCACAATACATAAAATTAAATTGGGTTTTTCCAATTTTGAAAGTAGTTTTGTTTTCTTTTTGTTTTTTTTTGTGGGTTTTTTTTTAAGATTTTATTTTTTTATTTATTTATTTGACAGAGAGAGAGAGAGAGAGCACAAGTAGGCAGAGCAGCAGGCAGAGGGAGAGGGAGAAACAGACTCCCCGCCAAGCAGAGAGCCCGATGTGGGACCCAATCCCAGAACCCCGGGATCATGACCTGAGCCGAAGGCAGTCGAATAACCGACTGAGCCACCCAGGTGCCCCAGAAAGTAGTTTTGTTTTTGTTTTTTGTTTTTTGTTTTTAAGTATGCTTCATGCCCAGCATGGGGTCCAACATGGGGCTAGAACTCATGACCCTGAGATCAAGCCCTGAACTGAGATCAAGAGTCAGACACTTAACCAACTGAGCCACCCAGGTGCCCTAAAAGTAGTTTGGGTTTTTAAAAAAGGTTGAAAGTGATGGTAAACAACAATAAAAAAAAAAAAATCATCCCCAAAAGGTGATTCAAAGAACCACTGCTGCAATCTCCTCATGCAAAACTGTAGCACTCAAAACGCAAACTCTTCTTTTACTAATCAATGATGGAAGCAAAAGAGTAGTCCTATTAAAGCACCACTACGGGAAGGGGAAAACTGTGCTCTAAAGTAAAATAACCTTGGTAACATTTACAGATTTAAAGTTAGTCAGTGCACTGTCCTTAATATAGCCAACCGGCATCACTTTACTTGAATGACTATTCCCTCTTTGAAAGATGTTAAGTCAACCTCTAGAACCTCAGTCTCGCTTGCATCTGTACATTCTTACCACTCCCTCTCAGGCTCCCTTGCTGGCTCTGCCTCTTCTCTCAACGTCTATAATACTCCAGAGCTCAGCCCCCTAGACCTTTTCCCTCTAGTCATGCAAATATTTTTGAATAGGGGTCTACTGTTCCACTCTAGGGCATTTGGAAAATTTGGGGGTAGGGATGGTACTTTTAGTTGTCACAGTAAGTAGGATGTATGCTGACACTGCAAGATGCTGGACACCCTGTAATATGCGGACAGTCACGCAAAATAAGTAATAAAATACTCAATATCCTGCAAATCTCCTGAACATCCCTACAGGATATTCATGTAGGGTATACTTAGGCTTATCTGAGTTTCTCTATATACGAACACAAAATATTTTTTGTACCAATTCAACACATTCACTGAATTTTTCAAGAATAAAAGTCTTGTCAATCAAGGATATATTGATGTTGGTTTTGTTTGGATCTTTACCAAGAGTTTCTCACTATTTCAGAAAATTACTTTTACTGACAGCAATACCATCTATGCACTTAGAGTATTTGAACTGCCGATACAAAACTCCAGCATAAGTCTTCATTTACAGCTTTCACATTATTCTACACATAGGAGCAAGCTTTGACAAATATTGTACTTGTACTTGAGCATTTATATGTTGGAATATATATTATTTTCTTATAAATGACTTTCCTTTATTTCTTTGTATAATAATTAGAGCATTATATTGGTTTCTATTAGGGATATGCAAAAGTAGCTTCCATTGTTGATGCATTTCATTATAGGACAGTAAAGGAGCATTATGAATACATGGGCACTGGATGAGTTAGAGTTTAGAAACACAGATTAACAATAATCAATCTCATGGCCTTTGAGTCCCTCTTTATGCTGAATATTCAAAAGTTTTTATCTACTTTAAATTGAAGGCTGGACCTTAAAAGTATATCCAGAATCTGACCACTTCTCACCACCTCTCCACTGAGTTATTGCAATGGTCTCATGACCCCATAATCTGTCCCATTCTTACTCTCTACTATCCAGTTTCCATAAAGCCATCATGTCCTGATATGGATTACCTTTCAAGATACATGCAAATTACATCATGTCACTTCTCACAATCATCCAAGGTCTTTCTACTTAGCATAAACTCCAAGTTCTCACTACAGTCCCCATGACCCTACCTGGTCTTGTTCCAGAACACATTTCTAACCTCATGTTCTGCCCTTCCCTCCTTCCTTTATTCCCCTGCATCTACACTGACCTTTGTGTTGTTCCTTAAATACAACAATCAAATCCTCTTGCCTTATGCTCTGTACTTGCTCTTCACATGGCACAGAATCATCTTCCCCAGAGATTTCTCATGATTTGTGCCCTGGTCTCCAGTCAGATGTAATCTCATCAGAGATGGCTTTCCTGATTCCACATGCACATGCACCATCGTCACTCTCTGTTGCCTGGCCTTGCTTTTGTTTCTTCCTCCTAGCACTAACCACTATCTGACATATCCATTTGTTCATGCAATTTGTGGTTCATATCTCACCCCTAGTACGCAAGCTACACAAGAGCAGTGATTTTGTTTTATTCACTGTTGTAGCCTCACCATGCAAAGGAAGGAATAGCACATAAAGTACTCAATAAATATCTTATTAAATGAATAAAATTATGATCCAAATTACAGATTTCCCACCCATATAGAATCATACCCAAATATGAGATATAATAATGACTTATAATAGAGCAATATTTATTTCTATGGTTTGGAGCCATTTTAATTACTTAACAATTACACGCATTCTATTTATCTGAATTACAAAACAATTCTACATTTTAATTGCTTACTTTTAAAGTATTTTATTTGAAATTTTAAAATTATTTAAAATTAGTGAAACAACTGCTATCAAGTGAATAGTCCAGTTTATAGATTAATTTAACTTAACTTTGTCAATTAAAATGTTTACTTAAAATATGTATCTATTTGAGCTAATTTCTGTGGCTCCATAAATTTGGCTGAAACAGTACAGTTTATTAACAAGCCATCAAGATTGTAAAATGGTAAAAATATTACGCAGTAATTTTTTTAATGAAAGATCTGAGGAAAAGAAATCCCATTTATATGCTGAGGGTGAATATTCATAAATTGTTAAAATATCCAATTAAAAATTTTTTTAAAAGAGCCAGCACCAAATTTATTACCAGATTAAAGTTTTTCTCTGACTTGCTTATTGTTCTTAAATTTTTCATGTCAAGTTGTATTCGGTTTATAAAGGGAAATTTTAATCAAAATATGGGCATATCATTAAATAACAATTTATTTTTAACAAAGACCATAAACATAGGAGACAAAATGTGTGGAACTGAATAGCTGCATTCTATCCAGCCCAAAATCCTGCCTTTAACCTACTATGCATGGATAATTCATTAGTAAATACTGCCTGCAACGCAAGATGTTAGCCTCACAGGTAAACATTTACCTTCTTTATATATATTCTGTATTACTTAGAATGTATCCAAGTTCTCCTTCCAGCAGATAATATTTTCAATTTGTATCAGTTAATCAGAAAAAATTCTGTTTGCTCTATTTTGCTGAAAGGTGATCTTAGTGATTTTTAGATAGGAGATTTGTGGACATGAGGCAATAAAATGTATTCTTCAGTACACTGGAGGAAGAGGTGTACGCATCAAGCTGTATGCATACAGATGGAGTACACGAAAGATGTGGTGGCAAAGCTACATACACTAACAAGAGCATCTGGAGAAGCCAGAGAATTTTAGTGATTACTCTGACAGTTGCATCTGATCTTGTGCAGACATTATTCTGGTAAGAGTCCAAAATCTATGGCTGTCAAAGGATGAATAGCCCCATTTTTGGTAAACCACATCTGTGCCCAACTGTACTTTATTACTACCTGTACTTTAACGATTTCACATTACATTGCATTAATTCATAAGGCAGCACTAGCTATTAAACTGTGAGGTACTAAGTAAGCTCAAGAGCAAGGAAAATCTCTTGCCAGAGTTCTAGCACCTTGAACTTAGGAACTTAGCATTTTAAAAGTGCTCACTAAAAGCTTATGGAGTATATGAGTGCATGAGTGAGTAAATAAAGAAATGAAATAATTTAGGGGCGCCTTGGTGGCTCAGTTGTTAAGCGTCTGCCTTCAGCTCAGGTCATGATCCCAGGGTCCTGGGATCGAGCCCCGCATCGGGCTCCCTGCTCAGCGGGAAG